TATTGGGCGTCCTCGAGGGACTCAATTCATTTTCCTTTTATAGGTCCTTTGTATTTTGAGAACAGGAAGTCAGAAGGGGCAAGATCAGGGCTGTAGGGTAGATGGCATAAGGTTTCCCAACGAAACTCTAACAGGACAGCCCGCCCTTCTTACCTTCCAAGAATGAGCAAGTACATTATTGTGATGGAAAAAAAATTGTTTGGTGCACCTTTTCTAGCAGTTTTCCATTTTCTTTAAAACGTCTTCATAATTAGACTCTGTGAACATCCTTGTGCCCTTTTAAAAAATGTATCACAATGAACTCTCTGGGATCCCAAAATAGCTTCTGAACTCACTTCTATGCCTTGAAGGACTGGCCAAACAGATCCCCTTCTTTTGACTGGATCTGTTTTGAAAGCACCCTAACAAAACTAAGGCAAATATATTCCAGAGAAAACTTGTCTGCAGCCATTCACTGATCACAGAGATATGTTTCAACATGGTTGGTTTAGAATCGTGCATGTATGAACTAGAACCCTAGTAGCAATACTTTTTGATTTACCTTTACAAAATGGGTGATGGTTTGGGGTTCTGTACTTTCATGAAGTCTACTTCATACATTTTCATAGACCTTTTCTACTTAAAGATTCTTAGAACATGATGTAAAGGAAGCAAAGATACTAAATTTTTAGTAACTTCTGTGCATTGCTATCATTAGAAATCACAGGTAAAATGCAGGTCCTGTGTATATGCCAGACATCCTATGCAACATCTCATTTAACTTTCACAAGTCAGCCCTAAGTTAAATGACTCCTTTTCACGTGGGACACATTTAATAGAAATCACCTATGGTGGTGGTGGTGGTGTGCTGTGGAGCTGGTTCCGACTGATAGAGACCCTGAATAGGGTTTCTGAGCATATAAATCTTTACAGGAGCAGATAGCCTCCTCTTTCTCCCGCAGAGCGGCTGGTAGATTTGAACTGTTGACCTTGTGGTTAGTAGCCCAATAGTTCTACTAACAAATTTATCATCTTAGCAAAGATATATTTTGAATTACAAAAGTCATATTCTCAGTAATGTGGCCATCATGTGTTAGAAAAACAAGCATCAAATTTTATTTGGTTACCCTAAAAAACAGTAGGTATCTGACAAACAAGCGAGTTTATGGGAATAAAAGTAAAGAATAAGAGTTAATTAGTGATTGAGAACAATCTCCAGGTTATAGAAGTAAAAGAAAAGGCAAAGAAACTGTGTGTGTGTGTGTGTGTGTGTAGTCTGACTTCATTTTTCTCAAAGAATAGAAACAGAAAATATATAAACATGTGAATACACACACTCATACATATCAACACACAGTTATGCAATGACTGAAAGAATTTACAAGAACATGGTAAAAACGACTGTCTCCAGAGAAAAGAACTGAGACTTGGGGGGGACAAATGACAAGAGAACTATACACTCTTTACACCTTTTACGCCTCTTAAATTTTTACTATGCAAATGTATTGTCTAATTTAAATATTTTAAGTTTTAAAGTTACTGTGGTCTTTCACATCTTAAGGAGATATACTGAACTATTTCCAGGTTACTGTGTTTTAGATTCATTTAAAAATAATGAGGGTGGTGTGGGGGATTGGAGAGGATGTTTAGATCAAGCAGTGTAGCTGAATCTGTAATGATTAAAACTGAGTGTGGGTACATTATACTATTTTTATTGCCTTTGTTTTAGATTCTTCATCACAGTTATTTAAAATCATTAATATAAAGCTTTAACAACCTTATTCAGAAAACCATCTTTCCATCATAGTAAAAGAAGATAATTGGTATGAATATATAATATTTACAAAGCTTAGAACTGTTTATTTTTAATTCATTAGCTGACATTTAAAATTTTTTAAAAACCTAAGAGCTCTTATCAATACTTACTGAAGGTCAGGCTAGGTGTCCTACAGACAGCATCTCATTTGATCTTCACCACAATCTGATGTGGGGCTGTCGGATAAGCAAAGGACTGCTAACTTCAAGGTCAGTGGTTCAAATCCATCAGCTGCTCCTTGGAAACCCTATGCAGGGTCTCTATGAGTTGGAACCAACTTTACAACACTTATCCATAACAAAACCCTATAAATTAAGTATTATCTTATCTTTGCAGGGGGAAAATAGAGTATCTTAGTAATTTGCCCTAAATTGTAATTGTTGTTAAACGTCTTCGAGTTGGTTCTGACTCACAGTGACCCTATATTGGTTTCCAAGGCTTTGAAATCTTTGAGGGAGCAGAAACCCTCATCTTTCTTACATGGAACAGCTGGTGAGCCGGAACTGCAGACCTTGTGGTTCACAATCCAGTGCCCACAGTTACAAAGTGACAAAATGATATGACTGAAATACAGGTTTGTGATTCCAAATGCCATGCACTAAATTTAGGGAAGAATTTACAAATATGCATCAAGCAGTGTAATCACAAAACGTGGGAAGAAATGAGAAAATAGTGTGTGGATTTTTAACATATCTTATTTTCAACATTAAGTAAAAGGGTTTTAAGAAAATAAAATAAAGGTTTAAAAAAAAGATTCCTCACTAAAATGGATATTACTGCATCCATTAGCTCTAAAAACAGTTTTACACAAATTTCAACTATTAAGCTAAATTTTTAAATCTCCTTTTAACTAAAAATACTTCAAATGTTTTAATTCACCAAACTGTCAGGGTTTTAACTCATTTTCTGGAAGACACATATTTTTAGTGCAGATCACATTGCCCCAGATCATTTTTACTCTGATTTTTTTTCAAATGCTTTCATTTCTGTTCCAGACGCACACAAAAATACTTTGGATTAAACAAAACAATCCTTTAAAACTACACAAACAAGCATGACTATGGCTAGCATACGATTTAAAAGTCTCGGAAACGGATACAGGTTCACTATGAGTTTCTGAGACCCTCAAGAATGGCTCCAGCCTCTGAAATCGCGCTGTCCTTGCCTCCTATCTCTGCCAATGCACAAAATGACTGTGGATTGATTTTCTGGGCCTGACTATGAATTCCTCCACGGCAGGACCTTTCTACCCCAAACAGCCAGCACAATACTGGCATATGGCAGTCACTCAAGCATCCTTTGTGGAATTCAGGGAATATAAAAATATCCTGAGTTCTGAAAAGTTTCCAAATAGAAATTTCCTGATTTCTAGAGGATGGAGGTATACTGTTTCCATTTTTAAAGATAGTAAATTGGAGGCTTGACTGGCCATTTAAGATTCTAGCAGCATCATGATACTGAAAAACACAGAAATCTGTTTCCTGAGTCACATCAGAAATTAATCAAAGGACAAGTAAATTTTTTACCCCAAAAAATTAATTTTTAATGTATATATAGATCTGTGTATATAAGCATGTTAAGACTGTACACTGTTTGGGGCTTTGGAACATTGGAAAGTGAGGTTGACGGTCATATGAACCTGTTCTGAAGTAAATGCCACATTTCTGTCATCACTCACAGCTACAGTATTTAAGAACTAAGAATGTTCTGTGTGACATAACTATGCATTTGGTCTCTATTTGCTCAAGTATTTTTGAGTGGGAAACCTATGGTTAAAGGATGAAAGCATGTCCCTTTATCCTTAAAGAACTCTCAGTTTAGCAGGGAAACAATTTTACAGAAAGTTTAAATTATTCACACGTTTGTGTAAATTAGTACGCTTTCTGAGTAAACTAATACTTCCTAAATTTTTGAACCCCTTACAGAAAGCAGTAGAAGTCCACATTCATTTATAAAGTTCTCCTTAAGAATTATTTATAAAATGGACTGTTTGGGTCAAATTTGGCAGAAGACAAAATGGTTCCTTTAGCCCAGGACTTGCATTTCAAGTTAACCTGGACTGAATGTGTACTGTAACGCAAATGGCCAGCCTGGGAATGGTGGCGGCTTACCCCACCAAAGGGGGCCACTGTAACACTGCACTTACTGAAAACTAATGAAGTCCCTGAAGTTTTATTTATAAAGTGGATATTATTAGTTTTAGATTATTTGCTGCAAGCCAATAGTCAGAATTGAATATGATGATATGTACAGATTACACCGATTCTCACTCTTATCCACTGCTTGCAGCCTATGTGCATTTAAACCAAAAAACATTTGATATACACTAACTATAAATTATTTCCTTGGAGATCTCTCAGGCATGAAGAAAAAGCCTCTTAAAATAAATGTAAAATATTATATGCTTGATGGTGTATAACCAAAGGTTTAATCTCACCACGAAAGGGGCAGTTACCATGATTCTGAAATAACCTTGCACACAATAATCAAGACAGCTCCTGTAGTTCTCACAGCCAAAGCTCCGTAAACACAGCATGGGTATATTAGAATTTGGTATCTGTAAGATCAACAGCTATACTTCATGACAACTCATAATAAAAGATTTTAATCACCATTAAATTGAGCATTTTCCTGAGAAACATAGGAAAGTGTATAATTTACAAAGCACTGTCCTATTAACTATAGATTAGCACATTGAAATAGTAATGCTCTCCCTCGCTTCAAAGTGTGGTCCATAAAGCAAGTTCTGAAACGTAAGCCCTTCAAATTAGATCTTCAAACTTTGGGGAAATGCATCTGCGCCACATTTCCAATCATGATTTTAAAACAACTGATTTTAATTATTTTTCTACCACCATATAAGACATATTACCCAAACTGAGCTCTCTATGATGAGTCAGTCTCAAAAATATTCAGTATCTAATTCACAATATTAATCTTACTCATATTTTTAAACAGAGAAAGAAAAAAGGCAGGGGGAAGCAAACAAAATAAAATAAATGGTGGCCTTGAACTTCAGGAAACTAAGCATATAATTCAGAAAAGGGTAAAGACAATATAAATGAGCATCAAAAACATTCAAAATGGAGATCACAAGAACCTAAGGAAGGATTACCAAAAGACCATACAAACTTTACTGAAACACAAGTAGATGATCCCACCCCATAAGCATTTTAGAAATGTAATAAAACCATCTTTTACTCACCAATGCTGGATTTTCTCTTGGCAGTTAGTGACCACCTGTCATGAAAACAGATAACTACTCATGAAAAACCAGAGCTACAAAATCAGTGTATCAGAAAACTAGAACAGTGGCTTTACAGATTTAATAGCATCTCAGTATACATTTTTATTTGTCAAATGCAGAGATGTGAATGTTAGTTTTTAAGCAGCACACTTTATCATAACACTAATGCAGGCTGATAACTGCAGAACAAATTACAGCTTTCTGATTCATACTTTGGTACAAAACCCGCTTCATAACTATTAGGTGACATATGATATAAGATAACTAGTATTTTGTACAATCTTCAGACCTGTTTTCAACGTTACATATTTTGTAGAATACACAAATGGCAAACGTTATAAATAATAAGCCAATGTAACATCCACGTTTCATCAGTTAAAAAAAAAAAAAAAGGAAATGACAGTACTGAAAATATTTTATTTTGTCAGTCTATCTCCAAATGTTTTCACCTGTAATTTTTATTCTGACACATTAAAAATGAGTTCAGTAATATTTTTCTACTACATTATCAAGAAGAAATACTTGGGATAAAGAAATGCTCTGAACAGCCCATTTGTTCCCCTGTGAATTGTGATAAAATTTTAAGCATTCCATAGCCAGTTTAAACTACGTTTATTATATTAAAAGGATGAAATTAAGCATAAAAGTTACTTGTTTTCCTTAATAATATTTCAGTAGAGTTTCAAAAAGCTCAGAAAACAATTCAGAGCACTAACCAATCAGGGAAAAAAGCTCTTGAACGGCAATATAAAATAATATTTTTAAATTAAAAAAAATGTTTTTAACACTTTTCAAAAATTGCTGATGATCTATTGTAGGACTATCTACTAATAAAAATTTTTAGACAAAAACCTCAAACACTGTAGCACCATTTTAGAGATAGAGAAACTAAGGGATAAAAGCCAAAATTTACCACAAGGCCATTAAAAAGACAGCAGTATTTTCTGGTTTGAAATAAACTGCTCTAGAGACAAATATCAATATTGTCTCCCATGTATGCTCAACATTTGTGACCCAAAGTCACACAAAAATACTTATTTTTTCAGGCCTGTCACTAAATTCCTCTATTATAACATTTAATTCCTGAAATAAATGCGCTCCCTTCGGACATTTTAAATACTAAGGCAGCAATCCTGTACCAAAATACATGCTGTAATCAGATATCCAGCCATACTACACATTAACTCAGCATAAAAAGTCCAGTTTAGAATGAAGATCTCTCAGTAAGTATCAATCACATAGCAACACTTAATAACAGTGATAATATATAATAGAGTACTGACTTTACATCTGGAAGAGCCAGGCTGAAACCACATCAATCCATTTCACTGTTTCTGATTTGGCAGTGATTATAAAATAGACAAACAAAATTAAATGCAATAATTTAATAAAAAGAAAACTCTTCATGAAATCCTTTTTACAAAGTTCCTATTTAACAACCCCATTAAGAAATGAGACCCCCAAATGGTCAGGATGCTTTTTAGTCCCAAAGCATGTGTTTCCAAGCATGAAGGGAGCCAAAAGCACAAAAAGAAACGCCCTGCAAACCATAAGAGCAGACTGTTCATTAACCTCTACATGATAATCCTTTCATAGCTGCATATTAACTAGTTACATATTCATAATCATTTACATTATTTAAAGGACCTTCGATGAAATTTTCTAGGCTATATCCATCAGTGATGGTGTTAAAGGTTATAGATGATAGTCTACTTAATGTTTCCAGGAAACCTTTTTAATTAGTAAATATGTAAATTTGGCACATATGCTTTTCATGTTTAAAAAACAAGTCACTGGTAGATGGCATGTCTTCTTGCCATCCCTCCAACAGACTCCACTTTGCTGTAGCCATCTTTCTTCCACTATCCTCACAAACACTCATTTTCAATTTAATTTTCTTTCCTAAAATAGTGTCCCTAGGAACAGCTACTCAAGGATAGAACATTAACAACAAAAATCTATTTCATCATTTACAGAAGAAATTTTCACTACTGAAATATTGCCTGACATTTAAAGTCTTTATTCCCTACAACTAGTGTTTTTAGTGATGCTTTGGAAACCAAATAAAGTAAAAAGAGGAAAGAGGCATGTATGAAAATACATGATGGTACAGCTACTGTCATTTCTGTTTAAGGATGTAGGGCCCACCTACTTTCAAATCAGATTTGGACTCAAGCAGTTGTATTTATATTCTGAGATATCTATTTATTTTTTCTTCTCGTCTACAGAAAGAATTATTCAAAAGGAACAGTAAACCACCAAGGAAAATTTTTAAAAGAAAAGTAACACTGAAAGTTGAATTTTTACCTGAATTAAAAAATATTTATATTATTTTTCTATGAAGTTAAAAAAATTCAAAAATAATAAAATCACTTCTGAAAAGAGATTGCGGTTAATTCTTTTAAATACTAAATAAATAAATAAGGTTGTAGGCCTAGTTCTAAAAGCAACTCCTGAAAAGCAAAGCATAAAAACAAAAACAAAAAACATTTCATTCCTGTCTTTCACAAAAGCTTTTTTTAAAGGTAAGAGCACTATTTGCTAACAATACTAATTTTTATTTTTAAAGTAAGGCTGACAAAACATGCAGATATGTACATAACTTATTAATGCTTTCTACAGGAAAGATATGTATCTTATATTTTTCCAAAGATTGTTCATTAGTAGGTTTTACTATTAAAACAACTGATGTAGTAAATACTTTTAATGTAACATGACTGTACTTCTAGCCAGGAATTAATAAAATATTTACTTATAGTTATTGTTGTTAAGGAGACTGCATATAGGGTTTCCAAGGAGCAGCTGGTGAGTTTGAACCCCTGACCTTGTGGTTCAAACTGACCTTGTGGTCCAGTGGTTTATCCCACAGCACCACACAACACTAAGTCAACAGTAAAGAAAAAGGACCACAAGCTAATACACAACTTTTTAAATTTTAAATTCAATCTTTAAAAGTCTTGGCAAAGAGCCCCATTAGTCACAGAATCACATGGTACATTTTATTTACAGCTCAAACCTGTCCTACCCTAGAGTAATGACAAAAATAGTGGTATTGGCTAAGCAATTCTTTTCATTAAAATCAAGCTGCAAAGAGCTCATGAGGTAGGGTTTAACCCCATTTCATGGAGAGGAAACCTGTGTTCAGAGGTCAAGTTACTTGTCCAATATGATACAAGAACTGATAAGAGATAAAAGAAAGGAGTTTTCAGCAACGGTCTATCTAATGCAAATGTCCTGGGCTGCTTCCAACCACCACACAACTTACTGAGTAACAGGAAAAGCAGCTGTTGACATCTGTTAAAAAAAACACTGCTGCTACTTGATCGTTTCTTTCTCCTCAACACAGGTTCACACACAAAGGAGACTGTGCTATTAATATCCATAAACGTTATAGGTTTAAATTCACCAATTCACACCTAGGAATAAATCTAACCAGGGACGTGAAGGATTTACACAATGAAAAGTATAAAGCACTGCTGAAAGATTATAAAGAAGACTTAAAATAATGGAAAGATGTTCCATGTTCATGGACTGGAAGACAATATTGTAGAACACCAATTCTCAACTTTCTATGGAATACAAAGAGGCCCCAGATGGCTACAGCAATTATGAAGGAGAAGAACAAAGTGAGAAAACTCCCACCTCCTGATTTTACACAGCTATGGTAATCCAAAAAAAAAACAAAAACCCTGGAACTGCTTTAACAACAGATACATAATCCACTGGAGCAGAAGTCAGAATCTAGACATAAACTCCACATCTATGATCAACTGATTTTTGCAAGAGTGCTAAACCTATTCTACAGGGAAAGAAGAGTCTCTTCAATAAATGTTACTGGGAAAATTAGATCTCCACAGGCAGAAAAATCAAAGAGAATCCATGCGTCATATCATACATAAAACCAAATTAAAACTAGATTAAGAACCTAAATGTGCAAATTTTAACGATAAAATTATTAAAAGAAAAAGCAGGTGGCAACTTTGTCAGGCCTAGCTTCTAACAATGGATACCTAATATAATAACAATTGTACAAAGAACAAAAGAAAAACGAATGTTATTATTGTTGTTACTGTTAAGAGCCACTGAATCAGTTCTCACTCACAGGAACTCTATGTCCTGCAGAACAAACCACTGCCCAACCCAGTGTCATCCTCACAACCATTCCCATGTTGAAGGCCAGTGTGATTAAGTTCCTCTTTTTCACTGAACCTCTATTTTACAAGTATGATATCCTTCCCTAGGGCTGGTCTCTCCTGATAACGTGTCCAAAGTACATGAGACAAAATTCTCCCCATTTTTACTTCTAAGGAGCATTCTGGCATTACTTCTTCCAATACAGATTTTGTTCATTCTTCTTCTGATAGTCCAGGGCATATTTAATGCTTTTCACCAACACCACAATTCAAAGGCATCAATTCTTCTTCAGTCTTTCTTATTCACCACCCATCTTTCGTATGCATATGAGGAGACTGAAAATACCATGGCAGCTTGCATGAGTGTGCTTAGTTTCAGAATGAGGGAGTAAGGTAGAATCCCCAATGAATAGTCTTCCTCTTCTCCAGATGGATCTGATGAAAGGATATGGGGGATGATGCTAATAGGATTTTATGATTCAATTATGAGTAATTGTCAGCAGGATTAATTGTGATGATCAACTGTAATTGTAAAAGATGTGTAACTAAAAGGGGTGAGTTAAAAAAGTAAGAAAATAACATGGCTTGAGTCAAGTGCAACATAATCTTCAAAGTGACATCTTTGCTTTTTAACACTTTTAAGAGGTCTTTTGCAGTTGATTTGTTCAACGATATACATCTTTGATCCAAGTAAAATGAAGTTCTAAACAACTTGAATCTTTTCTCTGTTTATCATAATTTTGCTTATTGGTCTAGTGAAGATTTTTGCTTTCTTTGAGTTAGGATGTTATCCTTACTGAAGAGTGCAGTGTTTCATCTTCATCCGTTAAGTGCTTCAAGTACTCTTCATTTTCAGTAAG